CCGGGGGCCCCCCCCCCCCCCCAGTCACAGATTGACCAAAAAAGCCGAGTCTGAATAGGGTTAAAGCAGGCATTGAGCGATACGGCTACGGTCAATGGAAAGGGATTCTCAGAGATAGCGAATTTCGTTTTCAAAAGGGAAGGACGGACAACTCACTGCTGAGCCGTGCAGCGCGAAGATTCGGATCACTTTCTTAGTTACCCTAGCACTTTCTAACTTACCCTAGAACTTTACATTTACGCCAGAATAAAAATACATCCTTGAAATATAACTACAACGGCAAGCAACAATATGACTCAGACCATCACAAGCATGGTTTTATTGTCGTATTACACAAAATAACCTAATTTTGACTTGAGAAATAGTTATCTATTTTGTTTGTTTGACGAAATGTTTTGATTCTATTGGTTTGCTAGCTCGAGGAAGCACCCTTTCGCTTCCTGGAGTTACTGGTAGTGGCTCGTTGGTGACACTTGGGTGGGGGGGGGGGCTGTACTGGACGTTTGCGAGCGCGGCATTGACGTTATAAAGACGTCTTCGTCACTGCTAATTTTGTTCTCTGAGGTGGTACCTTGCACTGAGGTGACTGCAAGTGCGTCTGTAATTGAAGGTGCGGCATCCAAGAATTCTTTGTAGGTGGTGCTTCCATCTCTGTGACCATCCGATCTGAAAGATTCGCCCGATTCGTCTTCGGTCGGCAGGACTTGGAAGAGGCTGGTAACAAGGAACCTTTGCTCTTTCTTCAAAAGACCCATGGTGACGCATGATTGCTTTCGTTGCTCCAGGGCGAAATAGCAACCGGCCGTACCATAGTTCTGGTGAAACTGCCTCAGCTTATCCTGCAAGACCTCGCGATAGGCCTCCATAGACGTCCTTCTCTCCTGATTCATGTCTGACATCTCAAGGGCCCTGGTGAGCTTGTGTAGTTCTTGCTCCATTGCTAGTTGCCAGGGTGTTTGGAAGGTGCCTAGTGCTGTTTCTCGCTTTCTCTGCAAGTCTTCTTGGAGAGTCTGCTGCCTGAAGGCTGTCAGATCGTTTTCAATTTGCGTCGCCATGGGTTCCAATGTATCCCTCGGAAGTAGGGCCACATGTTCGCGTGCGACTCCCTTCGACAAGAGATTTTCCTGTCTGCGTCGGTACACCGCTTCCCCTGCCTGCCTCTGTCTTTCTCGCTCGCTGAGTCGCGCTTGCAAAATGGCTGAAACTTTGCGGGGTCGGAGGGACGTCTGAGAGCACCGCTCCATAACTCGTCTCAACGCACTGATGGTCTGGT